CACTATTCATTGGTATAAGAGTAGCCCAAGAGTTGGCGGTCAGTGGTGATGACTAGTTTCCTTCCCTCTAGTCTTACACCGCTAAATTAGGGACGGCTAGTGCAGATAGCCCTTATGTAGCTTTGCACAAAATTCAAAACAAACAAACAGTTTGAATAGTGTAGGAAATCCCTGATATATGCTTCATTCTACAATACATTAAACAAAAACATATTAACATATCTTAAAATTCTTACAGTTTCTCACATCTTTGACTTATTGTACTATATGACATTAAAGTATCTTTGAGGTTACGTATCACAAAATCCTTTCTATGTACTGGGAATGAGTTTGAAACAAATCTTCTGGATAAGTGAGAAAAGTGGAGTCACTGGTTCTATAGTCATTTGTGCACCCTGATTGGATGCTCTGAAATGTGTTTTTGGTTGGTTGAAATAATATCAACTGTTACTGATCTTTTACTGTGTAATGTCAGGAAATCATGAGACTGTGTATTATATCCTTAAATATTTTCCTGTAATGATTGTTAACATGGATCCAGTGAACTCCTCGATCACCATATTGAGGTATTGTTGCTATTGTCTGAAAGTATTTACCATCAGTAAAAATGTTTAGCTACCATTGTTAGAATATGAATATTTAATAATAGTTGTGTGATTATAATTTTTGGCAGATTACTGTTAACCATGCTAGATCAGAGACAGGTTCTATATATACGCACTTCTTAAAAGCATCAGTTGGACACAAAGAAAATAAAAGTTTAGTATTTCTAATGGTGCAGTTAAATACATATTTAATTATGTTTAATTATTATGACTAAATTTTAAGTGAAATGTCTTTGTGTAAGTTACTGTAAAATGGAGTGACTAGCTTCTCATTTTTCAAATGGCAACTCACCATAAAATGGGGTAATCAGGGGCTCATTTTTCCAAATGGCGACTCATCCATGGCTCTCAGTTCTCAGGCTTGGAAACAAATAAAATTGTGAGATAAGCGATACAATTATAGCTCCGTATTGTGTACAACTAGACCTCATGGGAGCATAAAATGGTCCAGGAATTTTTTTAATTCGTTAAAAAATAGTGGAGTGAATAGTGATGAATATTAAGAATTATCTTTATTCACCTTTTCTCCAACATTAGGGTGTACGTGAACAACCAAAATATGTTTAAAAAGTCTACAAAATGAGCTGATTATTAAATAATAATGAATGCCTGCTGGATACCAAAGATTTTTAAAGGAGGTGTACATGTGTAAATTTGTAATATAGATATTAGATATTATAAAAGTAAATTGTATCATTTGAAAAAGAAGAGTTGTGCTTCACTGAGAGTAATATCATGTAATACCATGATGATCCAACCAATAGTAAAGTAGTTAGGTGAAGTAGATTCCAAAATGGTATTATCTCCTTTCAACCTTGGTTTGCCTTCTAAGCATTGCTAAAAAATTTGTTGCTAACAGCACACCAATCTTTTAGACCCCTTCACTTTTGCACCATTTTAGAACATGTGCTGATCATATGACTACCCTCCACCATCTATACTAGCACAGTAGCTCCCTCTACTTTTTAACCACAGTCCTCACTTTCTTGATTGACATTAGAGTGTATTGATGTGTGTTTAATTCACTCTCCATGTGATTCCTTCTGTTTCGTTTATGATTGCTTAACAATCTTTCGCCAGTGTTAAAGTTGATGTTTCGACTTTCATGTTTACTTTCAAAATTTCTTTTAGTTTTATTTTTGAAAGTTTCTTATATAATTTGAATTGTACTTTGAAATAGGAATTCGAATTTTACTGTGGAAGTTGATGAAGTTCCTGTCAGTAATGAAGATAGTAATATCACTAGTTTCCAGCATGACAGGTTGACAATATCTGCCAAGGAGTGTTCAAGCTTTAATTATTGAGTTGGATGCTTTTGCTTGGCCATTGGTTCATTTTCTCTTTCCCCCTGAACATGCTTCTGAGGAAGACTTTCATTGGGATGAAGACAATTTGGAATCTATATTTCCAGCTTCGGCTTTTTTTGGTCAGTCACATAATGCTGACAGTCAGGAGAATTTACCAACCTTGCATTTCCTACACCTTATTGATCAGTTATTTCAAATTTGAAATGTTTTGCCTTTAGCCTTTGATTCCTAGCTTTCTCTGTTAGGTAAAGAACCTCAATTGGATTATTAGGTTTTTCCTCTCTCACCTGACATCTGAGTTCATGCTCAATATTTTACTGATCAAATGCCCCATCCCCTTTGATTAATGGACTGGTTCTCTTTAGCTTTCCAGTGTGCTTCAAATCCTTTTTTGGATTCCCAACATCTGGATCCCCTCCTCCTCCTGTGGGGCTCAAATCTGGGGGCTTTGATCCATGTCAATCAGTCCCAGTTTTCTAAGATTTGTCTTGCCCTGCCCACCCTTTTATATATGAATTTCACCTTAGAGTTGTTGTCTCAAGCCTTTAGCCAGTTACCAGATCAATTTTCTGCTGAATTCAGGACTCTCCTGTGGTTTACTCTGGTCCATTTTCAGAATCAGCACTGTCTTTCAACACTTGGTTATTATGTTATTAGGATTTGCTGGGGAAAGATGCATTACTTGAGGGAGTGCATGTTCCCATTTCTTCTTTAAGGGGTTTTTGTCAGGCCTCGTTTTTTCCCAAAACGATTTTTGGGAGTCATGCTGAGCCATTGGAGTCTTGGGTTGATGTGGCGAGGCCACAATCCTCCTTGTCATCCTGGCCTCTACTTTGTCTCTTCCTGCTGTTCTGCCCTATCTTTGCCTGTCTAGGTTCCCCATGCCCCTTCTTCCTCTCATCATCTCTTACCCTACTCCAGACGTCCATGTCCCTTCCCTCAGTTTCCTCTGTTTCCCAAGATCTATCACCTATTACTCTCACTGGCTAGGTTTTTTAAGTCATATAACTGGCTTATTCTGACTTGTCTATGGAAGGTCGATGGCTGTACAATGTTTAATTGCACCAAATATGTCATTTAACTATCATTCAAGTTGGTATTTGGACAACTCCCAGTACATTCACTGCACATTATCTGCACGTCCTAGCTGTATCTTCCTCAGTCAGGTATCATGTTCCTCCTGTGGCAATTCTACACATGTTTGTTTGCTTTGACTGGGGTAAATTGACATATTATTATTTTTTATCTTATTCAGTTGACATATATCATATTTCAGGATCCAACCTAGTGGCAGGTTTGGCCTGGTCAAGTATGCTGAATATTATATCTTAGCACTAAATCTGTATACTTCTATAACACTCACTGTGGAGATGAAGTGTTTCTGTAAGACAACCAGCTGCTTATCTGGTAGTGTGTATATATATCTATATATAATGTTTTGTAATTATCACTGTATTATATATAAGGGACCATCACCCATGGACTTCACGAGTAAAGCAGATGGGGATTTTTGCCCATT